GTTGTGGGCTATGCCCTCTCTGATTGGTCCCCAGGCAGCATCTTTTCTCCCCACCCTATCTCCCAAGAGCATTCCCACATACCATTACACCAATTGCCAGAAGAGTAAAATGGTGGAGGAGATACAAGATATTATGATTAAACCCAATCTCAAATAAAAGCAGTTTTAGTCTTTCTGTGGAATGGATTTCCTGGTGTGGTACACCTGGTGAGGTTGATACCACCTAGTAAGATCCAGTAGGGTGGACTTTTAATAAGTCGCCTTAGTCAGAGGTTGACATGTCATTTCCACCCTGCCTCCTTCCTCTAGAGTAGAGCTCCCTGACCTAGATTCCACCTGATCTTAAAGCAGGGGTCTTCAAACTTGGACCTTTTATGACTTGTGGACTTCAACTCCCAGAATTCCTCAGCCAGGCACACGTGCCTGGCTGAGGAATTCTGGGAGTTGAAGTCCACAAGTCATAAAAGGGCCAAGTTTGAAGACCCCTGTTTTAAAGTCTGCAAAGATTTGGCTAACTCACCAAGCCTCAGCAGGTGAGCTACCAGAATTCACTTTCTGGATAAGTAATTAGTTTTAAGTACATTTAAGTCTATTTTTGAAGCAGCTGATTTTTAGGCTATACGGTAACATTTGAGTTTTAATTTGGGTTATATTTTTAAATCCAAATTATGGACCTGCTCAGCTATACATTTCTCAGCTGGATTGAAATAGAGCATCCTAGAAGCTCTGCAAATAAACAAACAACTATCTCTTCAATCCTCTAGCTTGGTTCTGGCTATCCAACTCTTCCCAATGAGGAAGACAATTCTTCTTTCATGATCATCCTACTGCTATTTCTATTACTAATGTTACTATTTGCATTGATTTCTGGTTCAATACAGTATTGAGTAATTCTCAACTGATGACACAATTGGGGCAGAAGTTCTGTTGTAAGACCCAATTTTACAATCATTTTTACAGAGTCACTGCCATTGTTAAGCAAACTGCATGATCATTAAGCAAATCCAGTCTCCCCAACGGGTGTTTCTTTCCCCAGAAACCAGCCAAAAAGGTTGCAAATCATGATCATGTGACCACAGGACACTGCAATTGATTGTAAACGTGAGCCGGTTGCCAAACTGCAATTACTTAATCATTGGGGGGGGAGTGACAGTCATAAATTCTAGTGTAGGTCCTAAGTCACCTTTTTCAAGGCTGTCATATCTTTGAACCCTTGTTGGATGGTTGTAACTTTGAGCCCAAAACTTCTATCACTGAGCGAGACCGTTGATAAGTGAGTTTCACCACATTTTCCAACTTTTCTTACCACGTCAGTTAAGTGAACCACTGCAGTGTTTACGTTAATAACACAGCTGTAAAGGTCAGAAGGTCGCAAAAGGGGATCACATGATCCTGGGATGCTGCAACGGTCATAAATATAAGCCAGTTGCCAAATGGCTGAATTTTGATCATGTGATTACGGAGATGCTGCAATGGTCGTAAGTGTGAAAAATGGTCATGAGTCACTTTTTTCAGTGCCGTGGTCACTAAATGAATGATTGTAAGTCGGGGACTACCCATATTTGCTCAGATTGATGTCTTTCAGCACTCTGCCTGTTGTATTTCCCGGCCCTTGTCATTCTTCCCTGGCTCCTAGTTCCCATCCTTCATAACTGTCTGTGATCCATTGCTCTTCAATCTTGGCCTCGTTTCTCCTGAAGTTGTTCCCGTCTTTGGTCTCCCCTGTGTTTCTCATCTTCTCTCCAATATGTGGCGTGACCCTCAGAAGGGACTCAAAGCTTAGCGGTTTCTGAGCAAGCGGGCACGCTTGTTCAGAATTTATACCCAGTCAGATCAGACTTCTTCATGCTCTCTTGCAACATTCCCCTTGTGGAAAAAGGCGCTTCTGTATCGTCTTATCTCCAGCCTTTGGAGTGTCAGTAAATGACAGCTGCTTGTTTACATCCTCTGCTCTCTTACTCAGATCAGTATGAAGCTGAGATCTTCAGCATCTGATGGAGCCCAAATGACTCCTGTCTCCTGGGTTGGTGTCCTATGGAGCACAGCTCTCTCCCTTTCCGTATTTCCTTACCATTCATTCATTGGCATCAGATCCATATGTGAAGAGCTCAGCTAGCTATTTTATTGCTCAAGCCTATATAACACAGGAATCGTCTCAGACTGGTGGTTTGTACCTGGGCAAAACAAGGTGGCATTTAAGGGGGGGTTAGACGTTGCCTTTTATGCCCATGTAGGGATTCCAGACTAATTACCTGTTTGATTCCTTCCCCTGGCTGGGCCAGTCTCTCTCTCTCTGACAGTTTTTTTGCTGCTAGTCACTTGGACCGGAGAGGGAGAAATTGACCTAGAATCAGTCCTAGGGGACTGGAGGCTAAAACATATAAGGAACGGTTGCTAGAATTGGGTATGTCTAGTTTAACGAAGAGAAGGACGAGGGGGGACATGATAGCATATTCCAATATCTCAGGGGCTGCCATAAAGAAGAGGGAGTCAAGCTATTTTCCAAAGCACCTGAAGGCAGGAGAAGAAGCAATGGGTGGAAACTAATCAAGGAGAGAAGCAACCTAGAACTACAGAGAAACTTCCTGACAGTGAGAACAATTAATCAGTGGAACAGCCTGCCTCCAGAAGCAGTAAATGCTCCAACACTGGAAGTTTTTAAGAAGAGACTGGACAGCCATTTGTCCGAAATGGTGTAGGGTTTCCTGCCTGAGCAGGGGGTTGGACTAGATGACCTCCAAGGTCCCTTCCAACTTTACTATTATTATTATTGTTGTTGTTGTTGTTGTTGTTATTATCTTCAGTTGCTGAATGGAGATTAGAATCTGGGGTCTTCCCCTCCAGTTCACCCCCTTCCCCACTGGACTACAGTGATTTTGGCTGAGTCCCTGTAAGGCCTGTCATAGCTCAATCTGACGGTCCAGGTTCCCCGTCTTCATCCGAGTGCCTTTTTGGGGAGACGATAGGATCTATGGGCTTCAACTGCCAGAAACCTCTTGCACTCTTTAGAGGTCCCACTTCTAGAATATAATTCTGGCATTTCTTTTAGCAAGACAACAATTCTGGAGGAGTGAGTGACATATGATCAGCCAAATTATCAAGAGAGATCCAACCTAGAACTAAGAAGAAATTTCCTGACAGTAAGAACAATTAATCAGTGGAACAGCTTGCTTCCAGAAGTTGTGGGTGTTCCATCATGGGAGGTTTTTAAGAAGAGATTGGACAGCTATTTGTCTGAAATGTCTGCTTGATCAGGAGGTTGGACTAGAAGACCTCCAAGGTCCCTTCAAATTCTGTTATTCTGTATTCTGAATCATGCAGTTGTTAAGCAAATCCAGTTTCCCCATTGACTTTGTCGGACGTTGGCTGGGAAAGTCACAAATGGCAATTACATGACCCCAGTGGTATAAATACATTAGTACATGTGCTTGCCAAACGCCTGAATTTTGATCATGTGACCATCGAGATGCTGTGGGTCATAAGTGCGAGCACAGTAAATCACTTTTTTCATTGCCATTGTAACTAAATGAATGATTGTAACCCAAGGACTACCTGTAAATATACTGGTGGTCCCAGTATTTCTAACCAGCTTGAAATCCAGGCCATCCTCGCAGTTCTTGCTGTGTGTTACAGGCCTAAAATATCTGGAGGACGACAAGTTCTGTGGAAAGTTGTCCTAAATATATAAAAAGGAGAAAAGCTGCAGGTCAGCTGTTCTTGTCCCACTATGCTGGAATATCTGAGCATACAAAATTATGGGAGCGGAGAAGGTCAAGAATATTTAGGAATGACCTATAAAATGCTTGTTCCTAATGGAGGAGAAAAAATAGTAGAAAGAGAAATCGAGGCGAAAGACGGAGGGAGGGAGAACGGGGAGAAAAACAGTCACTTTCTTGTTTGCAAACCAAGCCAGCTGTGTCCTCTGTTTAAACATATTTATCTACTTTTTGTGGATAAAACAGCAAGCTTGGAGGTGGCCGAGATGAAACGGAAAAATAGTCATTATCCTTGACCATCTCCCACTTTCTCTCTCCCTCTCTGGAACATAACAGGACAGCAGAAGGACATGAGATAAAGTCAATGTATTCTACTTGCCTAACAAGAAAACAAGAAAAAAGAAAAGAAGGCCACTCTGTTTGAAAGGAGTCACTGCCAGCGAGAAAACACTGAGAAAAGGCTGGCATCGTTACAGAGAGAAGAAAAATATTCTGCATTTCCTAAGGCGCCTGGGTGTTGAGAGGGTTTTCTGTGTGTGTGCGTCTGCTGTATGTGACCCAAAATTTGGCTATGAGCCACAGGATTTGGACAGTGGTTTTCTTTGGGGGTAGAAATACAGAATAGTCCTCAACTTACAGCAGTTCGTTTAGTGACCGTTCGAAGTTATAACGGCACTAAAAAAAGCCGTTTTTCACACTTACGACCAGCATTCCCATGGTCACGTGATTTACATTCAGATGCTTAACAACTGGTTCATGTTTATGACGGTTGCAGTGTACCGGGGTCACATGATCCCCTTTTTGTGACTTTCTTACAAGCGAAGTCAAATGGGAAGCCAGATTCACTTGACAACCGTGCTACTAACTTAACTGCAGTGATTTGCTTAATGTGGCAAGAAAAGTTGTAAAATGGGGCAAAACTCACAACAAATGTATCACTTAATTATTTGGGGCTCGGTTTGTGGTAATAAGTCGAGGACTACCTATACACATTTTCTGTTGCATTCCACCAGTCAGATTGCATGAACAAGTTGCATTTACGACCAGTTGCAGCATCCTGTAGTCACGTGGGTGATCTGTGGAGGTGGTGGGTGGCCCAGTGGGCAGGGCGGAGCAGGGACGGGGGTGGGAGGTGGTTTTTGGGCACTTGGTCTCTAAAAGGTTCGCCATCACTGGCTTAGGAGATTCCCCCCCCCCTCAGTTGTACTTTCCTTCCAAGTCCTGATGCAGTAAAAATAATATTTATGGACATTGAGAGAGAAATTTATTAGATGAGGAATTTTCCAATCCACATTACATTTTGGCCATTGTCTTGACACTCTACAGTTGATGTTCATAATAGGTTTTGACTGATTTGGCTACTGTCAAGGGAACAGGAAGAGATAGAAGAGGAGCAGGCCCAAGGCAGATTCATCGAGGTAGTGGGAAGAGAGATGAAGGTACGTAGGTAACATTGCGTGCCTGTGCCAGTTGTTTTGCTATGTCCTCAGCTGCCTCAAGTTTGCGCAGTTCCACAAGACCTTCCCCTGCGGAAGCCAGGGAGTTGGCAATTAGCTCTGCAGCTTTCGAGTCTCCTTCGGCCATGATGATAGCAGCCTTCTTCTGGTGCTCAGCCTTTTCCACAAAGAACCTTGCCTTTTCTGCTTCCTGTTGTGCCACTTGCTTCATTTCTACGGCATCCAAGAAGTCCTTGCTGAACGTCAGGTGGGTCAAGGAAACGTCGTCCAGGAGAATACCAAAGCTAGCTGCCCGTTCCGACAGGTCTTCGTTCACCTGCCTGGAGACCAACTCTCTCTGCGTGATCAGCTCCTCTGCGTCAAAGCGAGCCACCACTGACTTGAGCACCTCCGTCGTGATGGAGGGTAGCACTCGGTCATCGTAGTCTTCACCGATCGTCGTGTAAATCCGGGGAAGCTGCATTATCACCGGCCGGAACAAGATCCGGAGTGTAATATTGACATTCTGGAGATCTTTGCTCCCTGTAGTTACAGGGACACTGTGAGGGCGAGAACGGCAGTCAAAAATGATGGGCTTCTGCAGCCAGGGGATGAAAAAATGAGTCCCCTCTCCTACCACTTTGTCCTGAACACCCAGATATCGGTCAAAGATGACTGCCCGGTGACCTGCGTCCACATTATAAAGAATAGAGTTGACCACTCCACCAGCAAACACTAAGCCCAAACTAAGTTTGCCAATATTCTCAAAGATCTTAGCAGCCATTGGAGGCAGTGAAGTCTGTCTTCTCTGTGTCCAAGGAAACTGTCCCAGTATCAATACACATGGCCAAAATCCTTGCAGGCAAATCCTTGTGGTTTTGGTTGTCACAGAGGTGTTGGATGGAGCTGGCGTTTCTTCTAACCACTGTCAATGAACTGGGGGGGGGGGAGAATGAAAGCCTCCTCCCAGTCTTGTTTTTCAAGTTCAGGAGATGACAATCTTGAAATCCCATCAAGGATGGGATCACCACCACCACTGCTTCATTCTATCCAGGTCCAAGGCCTCTTGACATCATCAAGGGCTCTTTTGTGACATGGCCCTCTGACTTTTTACCTTGGTTAGTGGACTTCATATTTGAGAGGGTTTAAGAGCTGGCCACCACTTCTTACAAAGGCTTCTTGTTCAGCTGTTGGGGTTGTGAGTCACAAGTCCACAAAAGGTAGGATGGGAGCAGGGAAGTGAAAATCTGGGCAAGTCCTAGATAAAAATCTCAATTTTGATTAACAAAGGCTAGCCTTTTAAAGCTGGGTTTTAGTCATTTTGTAAATTACAATTGAAGACAGTGACTTTGAGTGCCCTCTGGATAAAAAAAAAAGTGGAGTATCAGTCATTTTAAAAAATGAAAACGCTTGAGCTTAAATTTGAATTGAATTTAAATCAAAATAATTAAATGAAAGGAATGTGATCATTCCTCACTCAGGGGATAATTTTGTCCCTTTTTGTCACATTAAAAAGGATAACAGGAAGGCTTCCGGGAGCTGCAGTTAAGGCCATGTAAAGCTTCAGGGTAGGTCATCTTGCCCTTATCTCACTCGATAACAACTCATGACATCACCTAATGATGTCATTACCCCTTTCCCCCCAGCTCTTGACATCAGAGCTTTGTTTTAAACATTACCGGACCTTCCTCTTCCTGTTTTGGAATTAGCAATGCAGGAAATACAGATTTTACTTTGCCAGTCCTATAATATCCCCAAGCCCTCCATTATGACATCACTAAGTTCTGCATTATGATATCATAGTGACACCCCCCCCCTCACCAGTGGTACTATAGATGCAGAAAACATAACTACTCTTGATTCCTTGTGAGGGACTCCATGGAGCAGTGGTTCTCAGCCTGTGGGTCGGGACCCCGTTTGGGGTCGAACGACCATTTCACGGGGGTTGCCAAACAAGGCTGTCCGCCATTTTTCCCCCTTTTCTTTGGCCATGCCCCTGGCACCCGGTGATGTATAAGTGGTTGGGGGTCACCACAACATGGGAAACTGTATTATGGGGTCGCGGCATTAGAAAGGTTGAGAACCACTGCCATGGAGGGATAATCTGGCCAGGAATTGCATGGCTGGAGACAAACTAGAGAGTTGGGGACAAAGAAATGAGGTGAGATGAAATCATGGATGGTCCAGCACTGGAGGTTTTCAAGAAATGTTTCAGCAGCCGTTTGCCTGGCATGAGGAATGAGGATTCTTGCACTGGGCAGCAGGTTGGACTAGATGACCTCTAAGAGTCCTTCCAATTTTAGGATTCTAGGACTTCAAGGGAAGTCTACTACAACAGATCATAAGCAAGGATCTGGAGTACCTTAGATATACCAAGAAGAGAAACCTTGAAACATTTTACTAACTTATAGGCAGTCTTCAACTTATAATGAGCTGCTTATGACCAAAGTTACAATGGACCTCCCCAGGGCTACTTATGACCGGGGTTTAAAGTTCTGATGGCCACTGCAGTCATGTGACTATATTTCGGGCACTCAGAAATTAGCCCACATTTATGGCCATGTGCAGCATCTGGAGTTCACATGACCATGATTTGCAATATTTTTGCTGAAAACTGGCATTTCGGCAAAAACAGACCGTAGCAAATAATGAGTTTGCTTAATGACTGTGGCATTCGATAAATGACCACAGCGGTCACTTAATAACAAAAGGTCATAAAATTGGGTTTGGTCACATGATGACCCACTTTGCAACTATCATGACTTATGATTGCAATGGTCAGGCTCCATTACGTTTGTAAATCGAGGACTACCTGTATCCAAGAATCTCTCTCTAGATTTCACAACTCTGTTCTCCCAAATCCTGGAATTCTCCTCCCCCATTAAGTCACCCAATAAGTCAGGCATGTGAAACTCACAACGTTGCGTGACGTTGCGTGATGTATTGCGGCTTTTTCCCCATTGCTGGCAATGGGGTGGGTGCAGTTTCGGCGTGACGTATCTGGCCTGCGGGCCAGCAGTTTCACACATGCCTGCAATGTGGTGTGCATTCGATTAGATTTTTTTTTTTAGATAATCTTTATTGTCATTTTTTCCTGTGGGCACAATGGCACACATTAAAAATGAAATTTACCGTAAATGCCGGCGTATAAGATGACTTCCGCGAGCGCTGAAATCGGCACCAAAGACGGGGGTCGTCTTATACGCCGAGTCATCTTATACGCTGGAAATACTGGTAGTTTCCGGCGTATAAGACGACGTTCTAGGAATGCGGCCTGGCTATAAAGACAGGGGTCGTCTTATACGCCGGGTCGCCTAATACACCGGCATATATGGTAGTTGCTTCCTCTCAAAGTGTACATATACATAACACACATTTAAAACATACTATATACAATATATGTATAGATCTACACCCTTACATATAAGTAACATATAAATATTATTCACTGTTATTATTCACTTTTTGTCTTAGAAAGAGGAATTTTGTTCTCTCCTTACATGGGAATAAATTCCATTTTCAGTGGGAATTATGAAATCTCTTTCCAGAGTTCATTTTATACCCTATGGTTTCCCCCTCCCTTTTTCATTCATTGTTTTAAATCAGATATGTCAAACAGAAGGCCCGGGGGCCGGATGTGGCCCGTGAAGTGGTTTCATGTGGCCCGCGAAGCCATCCTGAAAACAATGAAGGAATGGCCCCTGCTGCCTTGGCCCTGGCCCAGGCCAGCCAGAAGCCAATGTACAATTTTGTGGTGGCCATCTGTGCTGAAATGCATTCAGTCTTAGCTCCACAAGGCCGTCTAGAAACTGCAAGGAACCAGCCCTTGCTGTGTCGGCCCCGCCCCCTGGGTGCATGCTGGGGAGGTGTCACCCTTTGTGAGGAATGAAGAAATGGACCATGCCTTGGCGCTTGCCCCGGTCCCACCCCCTTTGCCAGAGACCCTCAGTTCTGTCCCACGCCTGCCCCCACAGGCACCCTTGATGTGAACAATATAGAGCTGGCCATGCCCACCCAGTAGGCCACACCGACTTCATCCATGCCCACCCAGTAGGCCGCCCCCCGCCTCCCCGAGGGCAACCGCGATGCTGATGTGGCCCTCAATGAAATTGAGTTTGACACCCCTGTTTTAAATGAATAAAGCTTTGTCAAGGAATTGCGCAGCCAGTGTCCAAATGAAATCAGAGACGCTGAAATGAATGTATAATTTTATATAAATAAATATATTTAACATCTATATTTCCAGTAAACAAGCTAGTCAGGCAAAATACTACATCATGAGGTAAATTATCAAGTAAATCACAGAACAGCATATAGAACACACAGAAGCAAAAGGCGGGAAAAAGGCGAAACTCCCCCTTTACACCCAGCAACCAATCATAATGTAGATTGCCTCATGCAGGAGCCCGCACTCTCCAACCAATCAACCACCACTGTGTGTTCTGGCCCATCACCTACCTGTTCCAGCTATTAAATTAATTATCTTAACAAGCTTTTAATTTCTTTGCTGCCATATCTGCTGCAAAATCCAAAGGTGAGCACAGGTTCTCGACTTACAACCATTTATTTAGTGACCGTTCAAAGTTACAACGGCACTGAAAAAAGTGATTTATGACCATTTTCCATACTTACGGCCATTGCAGCATCCTCACGGTCATGTGATCAAAACTCGAACACTCGGTAACTGTCTCATATTTATGATGGTTGCAATGTCCAGGGGGTCATGCAATCACCTTTTGTTATCTTCTGATGAGCAAAGTCATTGGGGAAACCAGATTCCCTTAACAATCATGTTAATAATGTAAAAACTGTTGTAATTCACCTAACAACTGTGGCAAGAAAAATCATAAAATGTCACTTAACAGTTGTTAAGTTAAGCAATAGAAATGCTGGGCTCAATTGTGATTGTAAGTAGAGGATTCCCTCTGTCTTGCCTCTTAAAGCAAAAAGTTTGGCTGTGTTTTCTGCCAATACTGAGCTTCTTAAAATATGAATTTATCAGCTGCAAAAATCTATTTTTTTAACCTGGAGCAAAATACTCATGAGAGTCCTATTCAGTTTTGTCTTGCTGGGCAATCAAACAGAAGAAATCTCACATAAACATGATCAAACTAGCCTTTATGTTACTTGGAGATTCTTCAAACATTGGCACATTACAATGTAGTTGTCTACTTACGAAGGTAATTGAGCCCAGAATTATGGTCATTTCGGACATAAGGCATCCTTGTGACCGAAAATAAATTTCCAGTCTTTTCATAGCAGCCTTTAAGCAAATATCATAGTCATTAAGTGAACTCAGTGGTTGTTAAGTGAACCCATTCATTTGAATGGGCATTTTTTTTTTTTTGCTGTAAAATAGAAAAAAAACGCCAGAAACTAGTAAAAAACATTGCAAATTGAAGTCACATGACGACAGAACACCACAACAAGTCATAAAGCTGATCCGTCCAAAATCTGGTCATATGATTGGTGGCGGTGCCACAACAATTTACAATGTGCTTTATAGGCCACAAAGTACCTGTTCCGTGGCCATCATAACTTCAAATAGTCATAAAATGACTGGTCGTTAAGTGAGGACTACCTAGAGTTGCGAAAGTTTCCAGGACTGAGAAGAAATGACTGTCCTCCTTAGTGTCTCTGTATACCTCTCTCTCTCTCTCTCTCTCTCTCTCTCTCTCTCTCTCTCTCTCTCTCTCTCTCTCTCTGTGTGTGTGTGTGTGTGTGTGTGTTTGCTTATTAAAAAAAGAGGGAGACATTTGGTGTAGCTTTAGAAGCTTTAGAAATCTAGATTTTTAAACTGATAGTCAGCTAGGAGGCATCATCCCAGTTCTGGATTGCAACGATATCTCAAGCAGGGCAGGGGTGTCCACAAGCTGTGGTCTAAAAAAAAAAATCAAACCCCTAAAAAAAACCAGGAAGAACCCTAATTTGGTCATCCTCGTGGCTTTTGGATCCCACCATTTGACCCCTCAGGATCTATGGCGACCACCTCCCCACAGTTTAGTTTATTCAGCTTAACGGTAAAATAATGTGTCTTAAAGACAGCAAACCTTAGTCTCTCATTTCCTGGCGGGTTTCATTCCGTCTAAATTGCCCAAAGAATTGTTCTTGTCCAAATGGCAGCCCTGGCCTTGCTCGGAGCTACTCGGAGAGCAGAGATCCCAATGGTAAACCCATCTAGCCAGATCCCCACTTTCTGCCAACATCTCCTCTTCTGGAAGTTCAACTTTCTCTCTCTCTCTCTCTCTCTCTCTCTCTCTCTCTCTCTCTCTCTCTCTCTCTGTCTCTGTCTCTTCCTAACTGAAAGTGAGTTGTCTCATGTGTGATTCAAGACGCTTTTGAATTGTCAGCTGCAGTTGAGAAGGCTCCTTGTTAGCATTTTGCTCCAGGTAAAAGAATGGATTTTCCCAGCTGATAAATTCATATATTTATAAGCTCTATATTTGCAGAATATATGATAGCAAGCGGAAGGCTAGTTGCTGGAGAGCTGCAGACTGACTTGTTTTTCCTCTGTCTTTTTTTTTTTTTTTTTTGGGAGATTAAAGGGGGATATTTTTCCCCTTGGCACTTGGGTATTTATGCCATTCTCGCCTTCCTGGGGCAAAGATGTTGGAGTTGGGGAGGATGGCTGTCAAAATGTCAGTTCAGGGTGCATCGGTTGAATAGAATAACAGAATAATAAAGTTGCAAGGGACCTTGGAGG